CCCCAAAACCCCAAAACCCCACAGAGAAAAATAAGTTGATGATTTTGATATCAAATTAGTCATTTAATTTAAATATAAATCAAGTAGTAGTTTTAAGATGTCGAATTAGCAAAACATCCAAATGCTTCAAAGATAAGTCAGTAATAATTCGAGAACCAACAATACAGATCAGGATTCCAAGTTACCCCCTATTAGAGTCAGATAGGAAAGCCTGCACCTTATCAATACCAAGGCAGTCTCAAATCCACTCATTCACTTCAATCTTCTGTCTAATGTTAGTATTTAAAATCAATCATGAATATACTAATCTTATGAATTATTTAGAGAACACTGCAGAGAGATCTACTTGTGATAGGTGAAAAGGAGTTCATGATGTATGATCCAAATAACGAGCAACTCCATGACTATGATAGCAAACTAAGGAGGATCCAAAAGAATATACTTTCTATTGCTTCCTCGTAAAATGGTAAATTTTGAATACTTTTCATAATTGTGAGTAAAGGCCAATATCTATGCTTATTCATGATTGAGGGAGATCTAATGTTGTATAAGGTTAAGGACAAGCGACTGCTGAATATAAAGGGTGTGCAAAAGGTAGATGCAAAGAGCATTGAGAATCCACCTAAACTTTACATTAATGATTCAGCTTCAATCATCATCATAAGCCACAAAAACTAAGATTGCTTATGGATGTGGACAATGTCCAAAGAAAATTAGAATTTAAACATCCTAGTAGATGATAAGCCAATGCTACTGCAAAGCGCACCTGACATCCCCAAAAAGCCCTCAATATTTAGATCAAGCTCATTTGACAAGAGAGTATCGACATTCTCAGATAATCAGTCAGATCAAATTCAAATTCAGGATTAAAAGCCCAAGATTTAAGGTTCTACTAGCAACACAGGTGGAGATCCTTACTTGAGAGGAACCTGGCTGAGTATCTAAACTAAGGATGTAAGTGGACCATTTTCAATGAGTAACTAATCGTTTGCTGAGGGGTTTGACTTGAGATTTATCAATCAGCTGTATAATCATAACATTCAAAGTTCAACTGGATTCTCTTAATGTGACTCAGTTAAGATTGCTCAAATCAAAATGTTCACCAAATCTGATTACTTCAAGAAAAGCTCTTCTGTTAATAGAACTGCAGAGGTTATTCAGGTGCAGCAGTAGCAGGATGAGAATATAATAATTGAGATGAGTTCATAAAACCTTACAGTCAACTTTACAAATAAAGGTGGGTCACATTTTGAGTCAAGTTCAAACAGTAACAACATCAAGTCAAGAATTTCCAGTGTTGAATATACTGGTCAGCCTTTACAAAAACAAAAAGCTGTAATCACTAGGCTTGATAATTAATGCTAATTGGTGTTTACTGTACTTAATAGTTAGCATATGCTTTACTGTTAAGTTATGTTTTCTAATTTTGACACTTCATTTGCTACAACCATCAAGCTGTTTGACTTTGTATCTCCAGATGACTGTCCCACTTTCGACAGCAGAGGAAAGACTAATCTCTGTATAGACGATGTTATGTGGACTAACAACGATGCATTTGTACTTATCATATTCAACTCATGCTCATTTGCCGTATTGCCGAGATTAGGCAGCTCTCTCATTCAGATCTTCAATCCCACAATTCTGAACATATCTCAAAAGATGGTAGAGTAGTTCACACATTACAAAAATCCCAAGAAATTCAATGAACTTATCCTTCCAATGTAATTGCAATAAAAGAATCCCTAGGTCAAATCTGTTTTATCACTGAACAAGAAAACCATAACTCTGCATCCATTTGAAGATTCCTTCATAATCAGTGACGGCCAAATGTGCTTTATATTTAGAATCGAGTTTGAACCTGAGCTAACTGACCTATTTAGCAAGACCAATATGAGCTACTATTTCTTAAGATTTTGCATATCTCTTGACAGATTGGCAATTGATCCTGATATCCTTGAGAAAATTCCGCAGCTTCTAACGAATAAGCTTCCGCTATTTGAATTTGAGAAAAACGCAGAGCTAGATGAGGAGGAAGACCCTGGCCAAGTTATTATGACTGCATCTTAAATTAATCCCTATGACAACAACGCTAAAAGAATGGAAACTAATTAGAGTTTTAATGCTGAATTCACCCTTGACTGCCAGACAGTTCTACTAAATTTAAAGCATCTCTTAATGGGGTTAAGATGGAACAAAAATTCACCTATCAATTATTATCAGTGGCTTATTACAGTAGTTAATGACTGCTTTTTCTACTTCCTCAAGAATTCTGAACCTATTTATGCTTTCCATGCACTTAGAATTGCTGAGGCCTACTGCAAGAAGAACCTGTTCTTGACTGAGTCAGATTAAGACATGGATATATTTGAGGTTAGAAACTAAGAGTTTCACTCTAAAAGAGACAGCGACTTCACCAACTTCGACACATTGAAGAAATTCTTTGATGCAGTGCATGATATGTATGACTATCATAATACTCACGAGTATATGTCTAAGTCAACTGCTGAAAAACTGCTCATTAAATACGACATGTTTGAAAGACTTCCTACAAAGTTATCAAGGGGAAGTGGCAACTGGAGATTCTAATTCACTAAGAACTATACTCTATTAGTCTATTATAGCTTGATCCAATTCAGAAATTATTAAGCTGCAAATTTCAATATACTATTCCTCGTTTTTGCTTGCTATATCTTACAAAGATATCTTGACTCTATGTTTTCTCATCATTTACAAAGAATTATTGAGATTGTCTACAGAAATTTCTAGCTACAAAAGAAATCTGATGACTATGAACTGTTCCTCGGAAAGTCAGGGAAGAATTATATCATTGGTCCAGCTGAAAAAATGAAGTAGTATTAGGATTGGGTAAATCTGGTACTTAAGTTCAGTCTTGAGCATATTAGCCAACTTTATGAGCAGGAAAACATGGAAAATATAATGGACACATGTTCCAATGAGTTAATTAGCAACCATGACAAGGTAGAAAAGAATATCGGTTATTTAGGAGAAACTGGCTCATTGTTAAAATGGCTGCAAAATGTCAATTAGGTCTATATAATAAATGAGAATGCGAGTGATATCCCAACTTTAGAGATTAAACAAATGATTTCAAGGCTGAATGAGTAAGAGAACTAATTTTCTGTTAATGCAAGGCTCATAAATTTCAACATTAGTGCCTCTTTGCACATACTCATGGAGCTGCATAAAAGGAACTATTTAATGAACTAAAATTAATCAATCAACATCATTAATTTGTATGAAGCTTTGCACAGGATTGTTATAGATTGTACCTCAATAACTGATAATGATGTGTAACTGCATGACTAATTTCATATCATACTCAACAATAATTTCTAGCGATCTACTAAAGATATCTCTGATGTCTGTCTTATTCCTCAATTTTAAGATATGAAGGAGGCTCATCAAAGATAAGTTATGGCGGTGGTGTATTTCTATCTAAATGATATCAGTTCTGGAGTTAACATCTTAGACAGCTAAAATCCTATTGATAACAGCCTCTTTAAAATCTTAGTACTCTCTACTGCAATAAAGCAGTCATTAAGACAACTAGAAGTTATTAATATTTAAAATAAAGAGCTAGAAAATTCACTTTTAAACTCAACTAGCCAAATTAGATTGATTTAGTAGAAGGCTAATTGTGTATAGACTGTTAAAAAGTCAATCAAATTTCTTAAATGTTAATTTCAGGAGCTCTATACAAATTAAAAGATAAGGGAAAATGGCAGAGGAATAACTGATTCTCTTTGGGCATCATTATTAATGCTACCTAATAATACATCCCCTATTCTTAGAGAGGAGCTTTCTCATTAATCTTTGAAAAAACTAAACAAGATACTTAAATATCTAAAGATAAACAGTCCTCTACTAAAGCAAAATAATACTTTTAGAAATTAGCAAGACGATGAAGACCTAGATTCAGATAAATCTTTATTTAATTAAACTTTCAGTAAGCTATTCGGACCTAAAGCTTCACAGATCTTGCAGAGTTTCATAAATAATGATAAAATTATGCAACTCTTTAGAAACCTATTTGAGCAGTGCTTAATATCTATAGTAAATCAGGAAAATGGATTTTCCCTAGTAAATCTTATAGATGATGAGCTGGTATATGAAGTTGATAAAGAAATCAGCAATTAAGACAATGAAAAATTAAAACAGATATCAAGCCTAATAACTTCAGATTTCAAGAAATTTACTAAGATATGCGTTTACCTAAAGAATCTCATAAGTATGCTCAATTATGAAAGCTAGATCCTAAATCAAACTTAAAAGCTAATCCTCTGCCAATAAGCTAAGATCAATAATAAAACACAGCTTGAATACTTCAGATGCCTAATTATATTATCATAGTTTGACAAGTACCAAAATTCTTAGCTTCTGATTTCAAAAGCCTTCATACTCATCAAGCCATTAATGAAAGCTGAGAATTAAATGTTTCTGTCCTTATAGTTGAATGGTATATAATATTCAACACTTAATAGATCAAACAAGCAAAAGATATCCTAGATATTAGACATAGCAAAGTAGTAAAAGGATACACTAGGAGAGCTGGTTTAGAATCTCGAAAATTTTATATTTTCTGAAAAAGATGGTCTTCCACTTGAAATAACTATTAAGGACTACTATCCAGATTTGATATCGTAGATTAATAATGAACTTAAAATATATTAACAAATGAGTCGTGGAGAGAACATTTGTAAGAGAATGAAAATGATTTTATTTGAAAGAAGCATATAAGCTCGAGAAATTTTTGGAATATCTTTTGACTACTCGCTATTTTATGAAAAAGCAACTTTTGAAAGAAGGTTCGGGAATATATTTGGTCTGAATGATAGCACCTTAGATAAGTTCAAAGGATTAATTTAAAAATAAGAATCAAAGAGGAAATAACAGCAGCAAGAGAAGTATGATGGTTAGTAGCTAAGCTTTAGAGGAAGAGAGCAGAGCGGCGTTCATTCATCTGCAGATACTTACAGACCAATAATTGTTCTTGAAAGTCCTGGCAGGGTTTTAAATCAAGGTGAGAGTCCTGCTTAGTCAAGTGAAATACTCCATAATCTTATGAAAAGAAGATAATTGGGAATGCCTTAGACACCCTAGAAAGATAAGAATAAAATCACAATAACGGGAACTATGGTAAAAATGATTTAGGAAGGGTAAAAGCCAATTAATCATAGCAGAAAAGTGTCAAAAATGATTGAAAAATCTCCTACTTTAAGACAGGGCAGATAAGATAAATCAATAGACTTCGATAATAGAGAGCATGGTACAGCCAATGTTATGAAAATTACAAAGAGAAGAGACTCTATCAAGAGATAGTTTGTAATCCTTAACAATCCTCCTTAGTAGAAATAAGAAGGTGAGGAAGAAGGATAATAAAGATAAAATCCTCTATAGAAAAAAGCTTAGCATCGCAAAGGCTAAATGTCCATGGTCCCTACTGGTCCTTAGATAAACTTCAATCTAAGAAACCAAAAGATTTTAGATTAAAATGCTACAAACAATAATGCTGAAAAACCTCCAGAAAAGAAGTAAGGTCCTCCTCCTGGCCTTCCTAAAGCAGGAATTCCATCTTCACGAAGGGCTAAAATTCAGAATGCCAAAAAGAATTCATAAAGAGAGGATAGAGATACGAAACTTTAAAAACTTGTATAAAATGTTCAAAGATATTTACTAAGATCGGCAATTAGCATATGGTCAAACAAAGAGCTGAGTCCAGGTAAACACTATGAGAGTCCGAGAACTAAAAATCCTTAAAATATTGACAACTAGGAATTCTAAAAAAAGGTAGGACCATTCTAAAGTGCTTAAAAGCTCAAGTCTGGAAAGGGAGGTTTTAATCTCATGCTAGTTAAGAAAGATGGAGACAACTACACAGTCTAAGATGCAAAGCATGTTTTGAAAAATGCAAATAAAAATCAATCAATTTCAATTCCTGCAAGCTAAGTTTTATAGCCTCCAACTCTTATGGCTTAAAAAAGTGAAGTTACAAAAATTGATAATATCTAGAATCAATAGCCAACTTAATAATTAACAAAACAGATCATTAATGCAAAACCTTTTCAGTTTATTAGAGTATAAAGCACACAACTAGCCTAAGGAAAATAAAAAACAGAAAATGAAAACATGAAAAGCGAAGGAGTTGAGTAAAAATAAACTACCGCCAAGATCTAGATCATCAAGCATTAAGAGCCTTAACAAATCAATACTCAAGTAAAGCCGAAATAGATTATTAATTTATAGCAACTATAGTAATAGTAACAAGCGAAAAACAAATCCAAGAAAAATTAGAGCTCCAAAGAGCAGTATTTGAACTTTATCGTAAGTATACTTTTTTATCTTAATGACATTTTATAGTAAAAGTACAAGCAGATATCTGAAAAGATAGATAAGGTTTAGAAAGATGCGAACCAGCTTAATAGTGATTTCTAAAAATTGAATTGAGCCGAGAATATTCTGAAAAAAATATCTGATTGATTGGAGGATATCTCGCATATTTGATATAAAAATATGGCTTAATTTCATGAATAAATTTTATCATATTACTCAATACTTGGGGTTTTGGGGTTTTGGGGTTTTGGGG